GCTGGATTATGCATATGTCCAAATACAAGTCACGGAATTTTGAATATTTAACTCAACATTGCCTTATTTTAAGGGTCATCAAAGGATCCAAACTTTTAATTAATTTCTCTTGTTTTTATATACAACAAGTTCTAAAGCATTTTTTCAAAAAACAATATTTTTTGAGTTAATTAAATAATTATATAAATCATATATATCAATTATTAATAGTAGTAAATTTTAAATATTTTTATTCCTATCTTTTACTTATTTTATATATAAAGTTATACATATTTTATAAATATGTACAAAATTAAAGTAAATTGTATTCAATATTAAAATTCTGATGTCCAAAATTTATTTATAATTTGTCTAACTAAAAAATAATTTATTATGAATTGTGTGATTTTGAAAGGCGTGTACACTGTCGATGTCAAGGAAGCACTAAAACATCGTATGGACCAAAGTACACTTAACTAGTCTATGTTTTGTTTTATGTTTATTTTAAGAATATTAATCTAAATACTTCAAAAAGTTTCTATAGTAAGAGGAAACTAGGATATGGTGGTTAACTAATTCAAGTAGTTAACTAAAGTACACATACTTGTTTTTATAGATTAATAGTTTTTTTTTATAAGTAAATTCAAGTAGTTCGTAATTTAAAAGTATTGTTTCTCACAATTTTACTTGTATTATATTAATTAAAAATCAAGTCCAAAAATTAAATAACAAATTAAAACTAATAAAATTAAAATGAAAGACTAAAAATATTTTTTAAATTAAAAATCAAAATTTTATTTTTTTAAATAGACATTAAAAATATATTTAACTTAAATTAAATTTACTAGTATTAAGTTAAAACTCCATATTGTATAAATATAAAAATTCGTAATCTTTTTTTATTTATTTATTTATAAATGATCTTATTCGCCGGAGGGTCCCTTGTTGTTCCGGGGCTTCCGGGGACGGTCTTCTCGTCTCTTATCTCTTCGACGGGATGTCGAGGGATCGTCGGATCTGGATGGTCGAGCGTTTTCCCTGTGCTTGAAATCACGGGTAGAGCTGACAACCTCTTTTTCCTCATACTGAATGTACACTTGGGCCTTGAGGAGGAAGGCATCCAGCGTTGTCGGGGGCCGGATGCCAACAGCTTTAGCGAATTCTGTGCGGGGACGGAGCCCTCGTTCGAGCAGAAACTTTTTCATGTCATCGGTGGTAGAGACTTGGACGACCTCCTTGTTGAATATTTCAATGTAGGCTCGTAGGGGTTCATCTCTCACCTGAATGATGGCCTTGAAGGAGGCTTCGGTCTTCAGATGATGGCGAGATGTCGTGAAGTGTCTACAAAAGAGTCTCCTCAGTTGCCTCCATGAGGTGATGGAGTCGTCAGAAGCCCTTTGTACCCGGTCATTGCCCCCTTCTTGAGTGTGGTCGAAAATAACCTGCACTTGATGGCGCCCCGGATGTTGCGATAGTCGAGCAGCGCATCGATGTTTTCGATGTGCTCGTCGGAGTCATTTGTTCCGTTGTATGTGCCTAGAGAAGGAGGTTTCTCCAATCCTTTTGGGAGGTGTGTGGTCATGATCTACTGGGACAATGGGTCGCGAGGCTCGTCGTCGCTACTGCTGCTGGTCCAAGACGGGGAACGAGCGTCCCGTCTGTAGGCAGGACGGCGGTCTCGTCGGGGAGATGGGGTTTGTGCTCGGCTCTTGGATCTGGGCGAAGGCGAACGTTGGGATTCTGCCTGGTGGCCTCTTCAGGTCCTCTTGGGTTGTGGGGAATGCTGGTTCCGAGGAGAAATCTGGTCGCGTTTGCGACTGGTCAGGGTCTCTGGCTCTAGAGGCGTCTGACGGTTCCTCTCACGCCGGGAAGGGGGACTCCATTGTAGCTGACGTTCTTTCTTCGGCGGAGAGGATCTTGGACGACTGAACTCTTCCAATGCTCCAATTCTCACGTTCTAGTTGAGGATTAGGAGGTTGATTTTGTTGAGAACCTCGAGGAGGGCCGCCATGGCCGGGTCGGCGTTGGACGGAACTGAAACTGACAGTTGCTGCGGGACAAAAGGAACCTCGCCGTGATCTGTATGAGCGGGGGACGGGGAAGCAGTGGCTCCGTCCCTTTGTCGGAGAACGACGCCGCCACGAGAGGTGGTGGCCTCATCAACATCAGTCTTGCTGACGGGGAGAAAAACAAAGTTACGAGCATCAAGATTGTTGTCATGGGCAGCCATGATCAGAAATTTGAAGAGTTGTTTTGGTCTTGTGTTCTACGAAGAGAGAAAAGACGGGGATAACAAGACTTCCCACAGACGACGCCACTGATCTTACCGGTTGATCAGAACCTAAGGTGGGCCAAAGACAAGCGTCTGTGATGCTGAGTGTGAAAGAGGGTGAGGGGGTGTACCTACAAGGCACTCTGATGCTAAAGTAAGAAAACGAGCAAGAGAGATCAAGTACATAATATGTGTGTTTCAGGATAAATATTGGATATCTGGCCCTCTCAAGTGAGGGGTTTATATAATCCCCCCAGCGCTTGGCCATTGGTCCCTATTTTTGGGGGGAGATAAGCGCTTCACGAAGAATAGGTAACTGCCAGAACTAGCCGTTGGCACGAGCACAAGCGTCTTAGCTGTTTCTGGATGGTGGAACCGTGCGTGACGGGCAGAGATTGACAGGGAGGAGTGTTGTGGTCAAGGGTAAATTGGTCAGCCTCCCCTGTTGGAGGGGCAGAAAGGTAAATTCTCCCCCTAAAGTGGTTGGACTTATGCAATTTTGACGTTTTGGAAGCAGAAGTGGACTGGGTCATGCCTAGCCATTGGGTCAGTCCAGAACAATAAATAAAATTATAATAACAATTAAAAATTCATATAAAACTAGACCTGTCAAACTGAGTTATCTCATATGAATCGGTCCGTCAGATCCGAAAAATCATAGAACTTTGACCTTAAGATTAGATTATGTATTTTTCAAGACTTTTTTAACTCAGCCATAAAAAATCCGCTACCCATTAGGGCTAGCTTATATGGGTCGTGAGTAGGTCATTAGACCCACATCATTATAAATTTTAAAAAATTATATTAATACTTATATTATATTACTCTAAAATAATATATCGATTTTTTTTACCTCACTAAATTTTATCTCTATTATATTCAATCTTTCTCTTTTAAATATTATACATTAATATAATCAACATTTTTTTCTCGTATTTTATTAGTTTCTCTTATGTTAAATGTTCAAGTATTATTTTATTTTATTTTGACATGTATTGTATTTAAAAACACATTATAATATTTATAAAAGATAATATAGTATCTAAAGATATATTATGTTTAAAATAATATAATTTTTAATTTTATTTTTAATAAATATTATGGCATTTTTATTTTTTATTTAAAAAATTCGTTTAGGGTTGGATAGTCCGAAGTCCATCTAGAGTCTGACTTAGACAGTAATTTTTTAGTCCATATTAAAAATGAACTTTATTGGCCCAGCCCGTTTAGGGTCGGGTAGCGAATTTTGACAACTCTATATAAAATTTTGAGGTATAAAAGTCAAATTCTAATGACATTTAATTAAAAAATATCTATTTATTGCGAATAAAAAATAAATCAAAATATAAGAATTTTGTTTTGAATAAATTCAAGAAACCTTATTAGAATTTACTATTCATTTACCCAATAAAAATTCAAAGATTACAAGGAAATAACAACAATCAATCATTTTTCCAACAACTTGAAAGAACTAGTTTTTTTCAATAACCCGAAAGAATTCGTCTATTTATAAACTAATAAGTTAACTTAAACTACAAACTAACTTAATAATTGATCTTATAAGAAAGACCCAATTCAACATGCTTTGAACAAAACATATTTCAACAACATATTTAAATAAACTTTTACTGCAACATACATAACCCCCATCAAACCATAAAACTATCTCTGTCAAAATTAAAATTCGATCCAAAATAGCACGCAACTTTCTCAATTGAATTAAAATTTACATTTTCTTTTATCTTAATATTTAAGATAGATTCCAAATATTATTGCATCAACTTAATTTAATTTTTTTATTAAAAAAAAAGTAAGTGGCGGTGGGGTGGTCATTTTTTTCCATGATATAGTTAGTTATTGAATAAAAATTCAAAAGATATTTCCAACTAACTTATAGAGGTGGTGATAAACACACTGAGTCAGTGATTCAAGAAGGAATCATTAAATTCACACCAACAAATCTTTAATACTATATTTACATTCACCAACCATCATCCTCAACAATATTTCAATTTCATTTATGAACCTCAAACCCACTCAACAATATTCATCTTCACCTTTTCATTCATCTTACTAAGTACTATCTTTCACCCCTCTATTAAATAATTCAAATCAAACAATGATTAAATATTACAAGTAAAAAAAGTTTGAAAATATATCCATATCAACTTCACCTTTAATAAAAATATATAGTTGATAAAAAATATAAATATTCATTTAGTATATAACCACAAAAATTAATTTATTTAAAAACAAAAATCAATTTTATTTTTGTCAAAATTAATTATAAATATTTAAAATAATATTTTGACTCTATTAAATAATCCAACAAACACTAGTGCATTTCACTACCAAAATCACTTTCTATTTGTATGACAAAAAGTACTTTCACACCACATAAGCAAAAAAGCATCACAACTTTTCCACAATGTTTGAGTCTAGATAAAGACAACCCTTCTTCACATTCTCTTGTTATGAACTTACACTCCAAAACCAAACCACAACCTTGTTTCCTATAACTGCTTTTTTTCTTCAAAAACACATCTTGTTTTATCTTTAACCCCTTTTCACCTTTGAACTTTCTATTCCTCCTGCCACATGAACTTTGCAGTTAAAAAAACAATCTTTTCATTAGAAAATTCAAAATGCAGAAAAGGGTTGGTTTCAATGGAGTTAAAAAAATCATAATTTGGTTTTGAATTTTTAACTTGTGCAAAATTTCTAAGTACTAAAACAAAACACCATTAGAATGGGTTTAGGAGTATTTGGATCTGTTCTGGTTTTGACATTTTTGTTCAAGCATTTAGCTTCTCAGCAACCAAACACTGATGAGTTTTTTGTATCTGAGTTTTTGAAGAAAATGGGTTTACCATCATCCTCAAAAGTTTATGACTTTTCATCTTCTGTTTGTTCATGGAAAGGTGTTTTCTGTGATGCAAATAAACAACATGTTATTGAGTTGAGTTTTTCTGGTATTGGACTCACTGGTCCTATTCCTGAAACAACGTTAGGAAAACTCAACAGTCTTCAATCTTTGGATCTCAGCAGAAACAAAATCACTGCTTTGCCTTCTGATTTTTGGAGTTTAACCTCTCTCAAGAGGCTTAACCTTTCTTACAATCAGATTTCTGGTTCTTTGACTAACAACATTGGAAACTTTGGTTTACTTGAAACCATTGATTTGTCAAAAAACAGTTTCTCTGAGGAAATTCCTGAAGCTTTGAGTTCTCTTATGAGTTTGAAAGTTCTCAAACTTGCACATAACATGTTTGTTAAAAGTATTCCCTCAGGGATTCTCAAGTGTCAGTCTTTAGTTTCAGTTGATCTTTCATCAAATCAGTTGAATGGAACACTTCCACATGGTTTTGGTGATGCTTTTCCTAATCTTAGGACATTGAACCTTGCTGAGAATGATATCTTTGGTGGTGTCTCAGATTTTTCAGGGTTGAAGTCTATTGTGAGTCTTAACATATCAGGAAATTCATTTCAGGGTTCTGTTACAGATGTTTTTGTGTTGAAGTTGGAGGTTTTGGACCTTAGCAGAAACCAATTTCAAGGTCACGTTTCTCAGGTAAACTACTACAATTGGTCTCATTTAGTTTATCTTGATTTGTCAGAGAATCAGCTTAGTGGTGAAATTTTTCAAAACTTTAACGGTTCGCCGAATTTAAAGCACCTTAATCTTGCATGCAATAGATTTACAACACAGAAATTCCCACAGATTGAAATGCTATTAGGATTGGAATATCTGAACTTGTCGAAAACTAATCTTGTTGGTCACATTCCCGACGAAATCTCGCAACTTGGTAATTTGAATGCACTTGATCTTTCTATGAATCATCTTGATGGGAGGATTCCCTTACTTGTGAATAAACACCTCCAAGTTATTGACCTTTCGCACAACAATTTGAGTGGACCGGTCCCTCAAATTGTCTTAAAGAATCTGCCAAAGATGAAGAATTACAACTTCTCTTACAATAACTTAACCCTCTGTGCTTCAGAAATCAGACCTGAGATCCTTCAAACATATTTCTACGGGTCGGTTAACAGTTGTCCAATTGCTGCGAATCCGGGTCTTTTCAAAAGAAGAAGAAGAGACACTAATCACAAGGGAATGAAGCTAGCTCTTGCATTAACCCTCTCAATGATATTAGCACTTGCCGGTGTTTTGTTTCTAGCATTTGGATGCAGAAGGAAACAGAAAATGTGGGAAGTGAAACAAAGTTCATACAGAGAAGAACAGAATGTCTCCGGTCCATTTTCGTTCCAAACTGATTCAACAACGTGGGTTGCTGATGTCAAACAAGCAACATCAGTTCCAGTAGTAATCTTCGAGAAGCCGTTGTTGAATATAACTTTTGCAGACCTCTTATCTGCAACTTCGAATTTCGATAGAGGTACCCTTTTGGCTGAAGGAAAGTTTGGACCTGTTTATAGAGGCTTTCTACCTGGAAATATTCATGTAGCAGTAAAAGTTTTGGCTGTTGGTTCTACATTAACAGATGAAGAGGCCGCAAGAGAGCTCGAGTTTCTCGGTAGAATCAAGCACCCTAATCTAGTTCCTTTAACCGGTTATTGTTTAGCTGGTGATCAAAGGATTGCTATATATGATTACATGGAGAATGGAAACTTGCAAAATCTTCTATATGATTTGCCGCTTGGGGTTCAAAGCACGGATGATTGGAGCACCGACACATGGGAAGAAGCTGCTGACACTAATGGAATTCAGAATGTTGGTTCTGAAGGATTACTCACAACTTGGAGATTTCGACACAAAATCGCGCTTGGAACTGCCAGAGCATTGGCATTTCTGCATCATGGGTGCTCTCCTCCAATAACTCATAGAGCTGTCAAAGCTAGCAGCGTTTATTTGGATTACGATCTGGAGCCAAGGTTGTCTGACTTTGGTCTTGCCAAGATTTTCGGAAGTGGTTTAGACGAAGAGATTGCCCGTGGTTCGCCCGGTTATGTTCCGCCAGAGTTTTCTCTACCAGAATTTGAGTCACCAACGCCGAAATCTGATGTATATTGTTTTGGTGTTGTTCTGTTTGAGCTATTAACCGGAAAGAAACCGGTTGAAGATGATTATAGTGACGACAAAGAAGCAACGAGTTTGGTAAGTTGGGCTAGAGGACTTGTAAGGAAGAATCAAACTTCAAGAGCCATCGATCCGAAAATTCGTGATACGGGCTTGGACGAACAAATGGAGGAGGCTATAAAGATTGGATATCTATGCACAGCTGATTTACCTTTCAAGAGACCAACCATGCAGCAGATAGTTGGACTTCTAAAGGATATTGAACCTACAACTAACTAGCATTTAGCAACACATGATGTAAAAGAATGGTGGTGTTTTTATTAAACTTATTTTCTTTTCTTTTTTTGTATTTAGATTGAGAGCTTTTTATGCAATGATGGCACAAATGTAGAGCTGTTAAGCTCTTGAATTCTGTTTGTATTGCTGATTCTTTTTCTATCATCAGTTCTTCTGGTAGATGAAGAAGTAATGATCAATAGATTTTCTGTGCATCCAACTCCATGAAGTTTGCTTCACCTACTCAACCATTTTTTCTACACAAATTTCTTTGTTGTGGTAGATCATATTGTTCCTTGCTGTCCAAATTATCCAAATCACTCTCATTCTCAACACATTTGAATTCTCCCTCGCCAGTTAGATCTTTGAATTGGACTAAGTGCGTCTCACTAACATTTTGCAATTACGTGGTAGTGCCCAACTAACGAGGGGGAATTCCACGAGAATTTCTTGAACTAAATTTAAAAAGTATAATAAATATGTTTTAAGTAGTGAGTAATTTTTTATTGTCTCTAGATGGATTGCTTTTATTTTGACAAAATTGCCAAAACTAAACTTGCTATCAAAAACATAAAAGACACAATGTAAACGAGGGATGCGTGTAACGCAATTGAATTATGCGTGTAACGCAATTGAATTAATTGTGCAAATGATTGTAAAATTAACTAAATAAACAAAAGTTGAACTCATGATAAGAGAAACGATTAAACCCCCTTCGATTTCTTTGTCTTTTTCATATGGTTAATCCTTATTTGAACCTATAATGAGTTTTCTTATTTCACGGCTATTTTAGAAATTAGTTACGCATGATTTCTACTCGACTGTCCTGCTTCGTCTTAATGCATAAGAGTATTGGAGATGAACATTGCATAGTCAAAATTTGTATATGTTTTGTTATATTGTGTGATTGTGATTGACTGTTGTTGTAAATGTGCCTTAAAATCTTGGTTGATGAAGAGAAAAAGACATATTTTGGAAATTGCATTTACCGCGAAAATCGAAAGTTTTAGAAAGTCAAACGAAAAGTTAAAAAAAATTTAAAAATAAATCGGTCGGTGAATAGTGCTATACGTACGGATTAATAGTGACGCCCGTACGGATGAATAGTGTGTCCGTACAATGAATAGTGTTTTCGAGTTTTCGGGCCTTTTCGATTAGGTCCATAGATCCATGTGATTTTGGATTTTGTTTGTTGGGTATTTGCTATTATAAATATGTATCTCTTATATGTTTGGTGTGTGACAATCTTAGAGTTTACACCAACAAGGAAGAGCAAAGGTTTAAAGGTACAACATAGGGTTTCAACTATGCACAAAGAAAATCTTGAATTACACCTTGGGTTTGAGTGATTCATATAGTGAGAGTTGGAGAGATAGGTGTTGTACCCCAAAATTTGCCCTCATACTTTCTACCTCTAACTGATTGTCGCTTCACATACACATGCAACTATTCACTAGGTCATACACATCCATGTGCATAAGGTCATAAGGCATAGGGTCGGGGCCTCCTAGAGAACCACGATTTTCTATTAGTTTATGGTTTCTCTTTCATTGAAGATCAAGTCAACTGGTGCTTTTTTGGATCTTGTAATTAAGGTTTGAGCTATTGTCATCAGCAACATATTTCTGTGTCACGATTCTCCGAGGGTTCCCAATGACGTCGAGTACTTAAGGTTGCTTCAAGGAATTATGAAATCATGGTATGAATTTATATGCGTCATGGATTTCTTTCTAAGCAAGCCATAAGGCTATTCTCCCTCAAGATTCATTAAATATCAAATTCACGTTCGTCGAGAAGCCTTAATGTATATTACAAGGAAAATCAGAGCCTCCCTTTCATTGGTGTTGTACACAATCATTTGAGGACCAATTAGGTTTTTGTTGTGAATTGTGAATGATGTCCTTATTTCTCAGGACATGGCTCTTGTATCAAGTTCTTATTCAATCATGCGAGTAATAAAGGTCAAGCTTAATTAATCAATGTGTTATGAGGTGGGAATTTTCAAAATTAAACTCAAGAAGAGTTCAAGATGGGTTCGTTTTTATTCCCAAGTTTTTGTCATAGACAATGATTCAAGTTTGCCCCACATAGCAACCGCAGTTTGCTCCCTGACGACTTCTTTTATAACTTTATCCCCGAGGCATAAGATAATGACGCTTCTGGCCTTATCCGCCATCTTGGTCTTCTGTACCTGTGTAACCCTTGCGAGCATCAATGTTTCACTCTTTAAAGCATCGATACACTTCTCTTGAATTAAAATTGCTTGCATCTTAATTTTCCACAACCCGAAGTCATTGTTATCAAAAAAAATTTCAATTTGCCATCTACTAACCATGGTGCTTACTTGTCAACAATATCTCTTTGCTCCATGCTCACCGCACCACTTGTTGTGAATCTTGTTGTGAATTACGATAAAATTCAATATCAATTTGTGAGGCAAAGAACAATAGCAACTAAAATAAATGGTTTTCAGCAATAATAATCCGTACACAAATAATATAACAAAATAAGGCAAGAAAAAATCGAAGGTTTGTTTACCCAATTCGATCAAACGATCTACTCTTGGGAGAGAGCAGCTCTCAAATTCACTATGCTCAGAAAGTTATTACAAGAGATTACAAATGAGTTACAAGAAAATAGCCTTTGCCTTTAAGTTCCCAATAACAACTCTGAAGGCGTCCAAGAACAACCATATTTTCTACCCAAGTGTTTCCATATCTCTCAAACTCTCAATATATGAATCACTCAAACCCAAGGTGTAATCCAAGGTTTTCTTTGTGCATAGCTGAAACCCTATGATATACCTTTAAATCCGTGGTGTCCCTTGTTGGTGAAAACTCTAAGATTGTCACACGCCAAGCATATAAGAGATACATATTTATAATAGCAAATACCCAAAAATAAAGCCCAAAATCACACGGATCTATGGACCGAATCGAAAAAAGCCCAAAAATGCGGGAAAAAAAACTATTCACCCTATGAACAACACTATTCACCCGTACGGATAACACTATTCATCATACAGAGAACACTATTCACCTACCAGTTTTTTTTCTTTTGACTTTTCGTCAGATTTTCGCGGTAAATGCAAAAATCCAAAGTATGTTTTCTTTCTCTTCATCAACATAGGTTTTAAGGCACATTTACAACAATATTAAACTCAAGACAATCAATGTAACACATCTATAAAAGGATTCTAGTAAGCTTTCTTTCATCATCACTTAATCCCTAAAACACCAAGATGTATAATCAAACGCAGATATGGGTTCCAATGAGAGATTTCAGAAAGGCCGCATTACTGAATGCAACAACTCAAGCAAATCAATACAAGACAACAACTAAAGAACTTGCAAGCAAGCAGACAACCTCAAAAGTGCTCTCCTCTTCAACATCCTTTGTGAAGATACACAGAAGAAAGAAGTCTTCTGGATCCATCATAAAAACAAACTGAGGAATGAGGCTTTGGATTTTGCTAAGGAAGAATGATAAGATTTCTTAGACAATCTAGACATGTCAGATGATCCTAGTGAGTTCCTTAAGACACATCCATTAAACTAGAAAAATCTAATTGTTTTGTAATAGCTTCCTTTTTATTAATAAAATAAGTTGCAAAAGTTTGAGTTCTTTTATCTATTTCAGATTCTCAATGAACAACACGAATCAATATCAATCAGTTAAAACTGAACATAAGTATGAACAAACTCTAAATTTATTAATAAGATGCTTAATACAAATATTTCAACAATAATACAGAGCATAATCATGCATAAATCTAACATCAAAATCTTTCATAGATAACTTCAAACTTGTCTCTCCAAATCTTGGAAGAACTAGCCTTAGAACTTACGTTAACCCCTTGCTGAACAAGTATTTCAGAAATAACTCATCCAAAAGGTATGGAGAAGGTCTTTCCCTTTTGAAAAGAAGAAAGATACCTCTTTAAATGGTCAAGCATAACTTGAGGAAGATCAATCTTTGAATATGAATTGAGAAGTAGAAGCAAATCTTTTTCAATTTGGTCCACTTGGTTTAAATCTCTATCCTAGGCAGTAAGTTTGAATTCAGAATCTGACTTCAAACAACAGCATCAAGAAGAAGATTAGAAACTACTTATGTATTAGATGGATCTACAAAGATACGCCAAGTATGAAGATAGTGTTCCCAAACAAGAGTTCATGGGATTTCTCCAATCTCCTCATAATTGATTATATTTGCAATCGTTTTAGAGGTTATTGTAATAGAAACACCAGTTATGCTAGACAGAATAGCATACTCAGAATTCAGCTAAACAATTGAGGCATTAATCTAAAACTCTTTGACAAGATTTGGATAAGTGAAACCACATAGCATCTCAAACTTTTCATTCATGATAGTCAGCTGATTCAAAGGAGAATAAACTAAAGAGATCATCTTGGGTTTGGTTTGGTCAGCACACAAACAAGACGAAAAGAAGAAAAACAAGAAGAAGAAGAATAAGGAAAAGAAACTGAACAAGAATCTTACAGAGATAAGAATCTTGTCAGAAAAAGGACACAATGATGTTTCACAGGACAGAGAATAGTATTAAAAGAGAAAACATCATTACCCAAAGGTTCTTTATCCAACATATATTTCAATTCCACCAAATGAGTTTCGCCTTTATGAAAGGTTAAGTATAATAAAAGCGTTCAGAATTTTTTTTACTTAAACTACTATGATAGTAAAAAAGAATCTTCTTCTGAATCTCAGAAGCTGACAACTTTCAGAAGCTATCAACCATCAGAGTCTAGTAAGTCTATACTTAGACAGAGATATCATTTGTCAGTCACAAGTCTCTAAGATTCTATTCAGAACTAGCACTTTATCTTGAAACAAGAGTCATGAGTGATAGATGAATATTAAATTGTCTTTTTTAGACAACTAACAAGCAACAGTATTAACACAAAAGTGAGAAAATTGTTTTCATAAATGTGATCATCATTCAGTTAGATAAGACATTCAGTATAGACAAACACAAGAGAGTT